ACCGGGGAGTGCCAGGCTAGGTGCATGCAAGTTCGAGTGTCCTTGTGTGCGCGTCTCTGTGAGTACGTAGGTGACAGACTTGTCCCAGCTGGGAGTGAGTCTGCCAGTACAGAGTGACCTCAATGAGCTGCAGTCGGAGACAGGGACCTGGTTCCAGAGACTCGGAGTGCGATCCCTCACTCACGTCTCACAGGCAAGCCTCAGACTCACACAGAGACCCACAGACTCACTCACACAGAGACCCACAGACTCACTCACACAGAGACCCATAGACTCACACAGAGACCCATAGACTCACAAAGAGACCCATAGACTCACACACAGACTCACAGACTCACACAGAGATCCATTGACTCACACAGAGACCCACAGACTCACTCACACAGAGACCCATAGACTCACACAGAGACCCATAGACTCACACACAGACCCACAGACTCACACAGAGACCCATAGACTCACACAGAGACCCATAGACTCACCACACAGAGACCCACAGACTCACTCACACAGAGACCCATAGACTCACACAGAGACCCATAGACTCACAAAGAGACCCATAGACTCACACAGAGATCCATTGACTCACACAGAGACCCACAGACTCACTCACACAGAGACCCATAGACTCACACAGAGACCCATAGACTCACACACAGACCCACAGACTCACACAGAGACCCATAGACTCACACAGAGACCCATAGACTCACCACACAGAGATCCATAGACTCACTCACACAGAGACCCATAGACTCACACAGAGACCCATAGACTCAGCACACAGAGACCCATACTCACTCACACAGAGACCCATAGCCTCACTCACACAGACCCATAGACTCAGCACACAGAGACCCATAGACTCACTCACACAGACCCATAGACTCAGCGCACAGAGACCCATAGACTCAGCACGCAGAGACCCATAGACTTACTCACACAGAGACCCATAGACTCACCACACAGAGATCCATAGACTCACTCACACAGAGACCCATAGACTCACACAGAGACCCATAGACTCAGCACACAGAGACCCATAGACTCACTCACACAGAGACCCATAGACTCACTCACACAGAGACCCATAGACTCACTCACACAGAGACCCATAGCCTCACTCACACAGACCCATAGACACACACACACAGAGACCCATAGATTCACTCACACAGAGACCCATAGACTCACTCACACAGAGACCCATAGACTCACTCACACAGAGACCCAGAGACTCACTCACACAGAGACCCATAGACTCACCACACAGAGACCCTTAGACTCACCACACAGAGAGCCATAGACTCACCACACAGAGACCCATAGACTCACTCACATAGAGACCCATATACTCACCACACAGAGACCCATAGACTCACTCACACAGAGACCCACAGACTCACACAGAGAGCCGTAGACTCACTCACACAGAGACCCATAGACTCACACAGAGACCCATAGATTCACTCACACAGAGACCCATAGACTCACCACACAGAGAGCCATAGACTCACTCACACAGAGAGCCATAGACTCACAATCAGTGCACTGCATTACCTATATCGGTGACCCTACGACTTTATTTCCAGGCTTTCCGAAGTCTCCCAGGCCTCTTCTCTCCGGAGCTGAAGGCCTCCACTCTGTGGCTGCTACCAATGTGGTTTAACCTCTCATTCAGGTGATGATGGGCTTCAGAATTCTCATTGTGTGGCTGGGTTGGGTGGGTGTGGAGCGGTGGTGCAGCTGTCAGCGCGCCGAGCTATCTGAACCCGTCCTGAGCCTCCCCTAGGTCGACTCGGCCTCAAATGAGTACCTGGTGCTGTGTGTAAACATCGCCACTGGGGAGACAAAGGCGGCTGGGCGTGGTAGTGGCCACCCACCCCCACGTGTACTGTGCCGGCCTTCATCGGTGCTGCTCGCTAACAGCACTTGGCCCTACAGTGGGTTGGCGAGTGTGGGAATGGGTAGGTGGGTGACTTCGTGTACTTGTGTCTCTGTGTGTTCGTGTGTCTCTGTGTGTACGTGTGTCTCTGTGTGTTCGTGTCTCTGTGTGTTCGTGTATCTGTGTGTACGTGTGTCTCTGTGTGTTCGTGTCTCTGTGTGTTCACGTGTCTCTGTGTGTACGTGTGTCTCTGTATGTACGTGTGTCTCTGTGTGTACGTGTCTCTGTGTGTACGTGTGTCTCTGTGTGTTCGTGTCTCTGTGTGTACGTGTGTCTCTGTGTGTACGTGTCTCTGTGTGTTCGTGTGTCTCTGTGTGTACGCGTGTCTCTGCGTGTACGCGTGTCTCTGCGTGTACGCGTGTCTCTGTGTTCGTGTGTCTCTGTGTGTACGTGTGTCTCTGTGTGTCCGTGTCTCTGTGTGTACGTGTGTCTCTGTGTGTACGTGTGTCTCTGTGTGTTCGTGTCTCTGTGTGTTCGTGTCTCTGTGTGTTCGTGTCTCTGTGTGTTCGTGTGTCTCTGTACACGTGTCTCTGTGTGTTCGTGTCTCTGTGTACGTGTGTCTCTGTGTACGTGTGTCTCTGTGTGTTCGTGTCTCTGTGTGTACGTGTGTCTCTGTGTGTTCGTGTGTCTCTGTGTGTACGTGTGTCTCTGTGTGTACGTGTGTCTTCGTGTACTTGTGTCTCTGTGTGTCCGTGTGTCTCTGTGTGTACGTGTGTCTCTGTGTGTACGTGTGTCTCTGTGTGTACGTGTGTCTCTGTGTGTTCGTGTGTCTCTGTGTGTACGTGTCTGTGTTTACGTGTCTCTGTGTGTGCGTGTGTCTGTGTGTTCGTGTGTCTCTGTGTGTACGTGTGTCTCTGTGTGTTCGTGTCTCTGTGTGTTCGTGTATCTGTGTGTTCGTGTGTCTCTGTGTGTTCGCGTGTCTCTGCGTGTATGCGTGTCTCTGCGTGTACGCGTGTCTGTGTGTACGTGTCTCTGTGTGTTCGTGTCTCTGCGTGTACGTGTGTCTCTGTGTGTTCGTGTCTCTGTGTGTACGTGTGTCTCTGTGTGTTCGCGTGTCTCTGTGTGTACGCGTGTCTCTGTGTGTCCTTGTGTCTCTGCGTGTACGCGTGTCTCTGTGTGTACGTGTCTCTGTGTGTTCGTGTCTCTGCGTGTACGTGTGTCTCTGTGTGTTCGCGTGTCTCTGTGTGTACGCCTGTCTCTGTGTTCGTGTGTCTCTGCGTGTTCGCGTGTCTCTGCGTGTTCGCGTGTCTCTGCGTGTACGCGTGTCTCTGCGTGTACGCGTGTCTCTGTGTGTCCGCGTGTCTCTGTGTGTACGCCTGTCTCTGTGTTCGTGTGTCTCTGTGTGTACGTGTTTCTGTGTGTACGTGTGTCTCTGTGTGTACGCATGTCTCTGCGTGTACTTGTGTCTGTGTGTACGCGTGTCTCTGTGTGTACGCGTGTCTCTGTGTGTACGCGTGTCTCTGTGTGTGCGTGTGTCTCTTTGTGTACGTGTGTCTCTGTGTGTACGTGTCTCTGTGTGTACGCGTGTCTCTGTGTGTGCAGCTTGTGTCTTTGTGTGTACATGTGTCTGTGTGTGTACGTGTCTCTCTGTGTGTGCAGCTTGTGTCTCTGTGTGTACGCGTGTCTCTGCGTGTTCACGTGTCTCTGTGTGTACGTGTCTGTGTTTACGTGTCTCTGTGTGTACGCGTGTCTCTGTGTGTACGTGTGTCTCTGTGTGTGCAGCTTGTGTCTCTGTGTGTACGTGTGTCTCTGTGTGTGCAGCTTGTGTCTCTGTGTGTTCGTGTGTCTCTGTGTGTGCAGCTTCTGTCTCTGTGTGTGCAGCTTGTGTCTCTGTGTGTTCGTGTGTCTCTGTGTGTGCAGCTTGTGTCTCTGTGTGTACGTGTGTCTCTGTGTGTACGTGTCTGTGTTTACGTGTCTCTGTGTGTACGTGTGTCTCTGTGTGTACGTGTGTCTCTGTGTGTGCAGCTTGTGTCTCTGTGTGTACGTGTGTCTCTGTGTTCATGTCTCTGTGTGTTCGCGTGTCTCTGTGTGTACGTGTGTCTCTGTGTGTTCGTGTCTCTGTGTGTGCAGCTTATGTCTCTGTGTGTACGTGTCTCTGCGTGTACGTGTGTCTCTGTGTGTTCACGTGTCTCTGCGTGTACGTGTGTCTCTGTGTGTACGTGTGTCTCTGTGTGTACGCGTGTCTCTGTGTGTACGTGTGTCTCTGTGTGTACGTGTGTCTCTGTGTGTTCGTGTGTCTCTGTGTGTTCGCGTCTCTGTGTGTACGCGTGTCTCTGTGTGTTCGCGTGTCTCTGTGTGTGCAGCTTGTGTCTCTGTGTGTTCACGTGTCTCTGTGTGTACGTGTGTCTCTGTGTGTTCACGTGTCTCTGCGTGTACGTGTCTCTGTGTGTGCAACTTGTGTCTCTGTGTGTTCACGTGTGTCTCTGTGTGTACGTGTGTCTCTGTGTGTGCAGCTTGTGTCTTTGTGTGTACGTGTGTCTCTGTGTGTACGCGTGTCACTGCGTGTACGTGTCTCTGTGTGTACGTGTGTCTCTGTGTGTACGTGTGTCTCTGTGTGTGCAGCTTGTGTCTCTGTGTGTTCACGTGTGTCTCTCCGTGTACGTGTGTCTCTGCGTGTACATGTCTCTGTGTGTACGTGTGTCTCTGTGTGTTCACGTGTCTCTGCGTGTACGTGTGTCTCTGTGTGTCCTTGTGTCTCTGCGTGTACGTGTGTCTCTGTGTGTACGTGTGTCTCTGTGTGCAGCTTGTGTCTCTGTGTGTTCACGTGTCTCTGCGTGTACGTGTGTCTCTGTGTGTGCAGCTTGTGTGGGCTGTCCTGCTGGGCTCCTGCCCAGCTAGAGTGGGCGCTGCATGCGGGCCGCGTTCGCGAGTTCCACGGAGAGACGGTGACGGGAGCACTCTTCAACTTCTCGCTGCACAACCAGAGACATGTGGCTTGTGTCTACAGAAAGGACAGGTATGGAGACAGGCACGGGGAGACACACGGAGAGAGACACGGGGAGAGACACACGGAGAGAGACACGGGGAGAGACACACGGAGAGAGACACGGGGAGAGAGACACGGAGAGAAACACGGGGAGAGACACACGGAGAGAGACACGGGGAGAGAGACACGGAGAGACGGTGACGGGAGCACTCTTCAACTTCTCGCTGCACAACCAGAGACATGTGGCTTGTGTCTACAGAAAGGACAGGTATGGAGACAGGCACGGGGAGACACACGGAGAGAGACACGGGGAGAGACACACGGAGAGAGACACACGGAGAGACACACGGAGAGAGACACGGGGAGAGACACACGGAGAGAGACACACGGAGAGAGACACGGAGAGACGGTGACGGGAGCACTCTTCAACTTCTCGCTGCACAACCAGAGACATGTGGCTTGTGTCTACAGAAAGAACAGGTATGGAGACAGGCACGGGGAGACACACGGAGAGAGACACGGGGAGAGACACACGGAGAGAGACACGGGGAGAGAGACACGGGGAGCGACACGGGGAGAGAGACACGGGGAGACACACGGAGACACGGGGAGAGACACCGAGAGAGACACACGGAGAGAGACACACGGAGAGACACACACGGAGAGAGACACGGAGAGCAACACGGGGAGACACACGGGGAGACACGGGGAGACACACGGAGAGAGACACGGGGAGAGACACGGAGAGAGACACACGGAGAGAGACACGGGGAGCGACACGGGGAGACACACGGAGACACGGGGAGAGACACGAGAAGACACACGGAGACACGGGGAGAGACACACGGGGAGCGACACGGGGAGCGACACGGGGAGCGACACGGGGAGCGACACGGGGAGCGACACGGGGAGATAGACACGGGGAGATAGACACGGAGAGACACACGGAGACACGGGGAGAGACACACGGAGAGAGACACACGGGGAGAGACACGGAGAGAGACACGGGGAGACACACGGAGACACGGGGAGAGACACGAGGAGACACACGGAGAGAGATATGGGGAGAGACACACACGGAGAGAGACACACGGAGAGAGACACGGAGAGACACACGGAGAGACACACGGAGAGACACACGGAGAGAGATACGGGGAGAGACGCACACGGAGAGAGACACGGGGAGACACACGGGGAGAGACACGCGGAGAGAGACACGGGGAGAGACACGGGGAGACACACGGGGAGACACACGGAGAGACACACGGAGAGACACACGGGGAGAGACACACACGGAGAGAGACACGGAGAGAGACACGGGGAGACACAAATAGTTGCTGTGTGGTTACTAGACTCGTGGGGATGCACCTGTACGTGGTTGCTTTGTGGTTGCTATGCCGTTGTCCGTGTGGTTGCTTGGTTCGTGAGAATCCACCTGTACGCGGTTGCTATGCGGTTGCTGTTTGCCATACGGTTGCTATGCGGTTGTCTGTGTGGTTGCTACGTGGTTGTCATACGGTTGCTATGCGGTTGCTATGTGTGGTTGCTAGGTTCGTGGGGATCCACTTGTACGCGGTTGCTATGTGTGGTTGCTAGGTGTGGTTGCTAGGTTCGTGGGGATCCACCTGTACGCGGTTGCTATGTGTGGTTGCTATGTGTGGTTGCTAGGTTCGTGGGGATCTACCTGTACGCGGTTGCTATGTGTGATTGCTATGTGTGGTTGCTATGTGTGGTTGCTAGGTGTGGTTGCTATGTGTGGTTACTATGTGTGGTTGCTAGGTTCGTGGGGATCCACCTGTACGCGGTTGCTATGTGTGGTTGCTATGTGTGGTTGCTAGGTTCGTGGGGATCCACCTGTACGCGGTTGCTGTGTGGTTGCTATGTGTGGTTCCTATGTGTGGTTGCTAGGTTCGTGGGGATCCACCTGTACGCGGTTGCTATGTGTGGTTGCTATGTGTGGTTGCTATGTGTGGTTGCTACGTGTGGTTGCTATGTGTGGTTGCTATGTGTGGTTGCTATGTGTGGTTGCTAGCTTCGTGGGGATCCACCTGTACGCGGTTGCTATGTGTGGTTGCTATGTGTGGTTGCTATGTGTGGTTGCTAGGTTCGTGGGGATCCACCTGTACGCGGTTGCTGTGTGGTTGCTATGTGTGGTTGCTATGTGTGGTTGCTATGTGTGGTTGCTATGTGTGGTTGCTAGCTTCGTGGGGATCCACCTGTACGCGGTTGCTATGTGTGGTTGCTATGTGTGGTTGCTATGTGTGGTTGCTAGGTTCGTGGGGATCCACCTGTACGCGGTTGCTATGTGTGGTTGCTATGTGTGGTTGCTATGTGTGGTTGCTATGTGTGGTTGCTAGGTTCGTGGGGATCCACCTGTACGCGGTTGCTATGTGTGGTTGCTATGTGTGGTTGCTATGTGTGGTTGCTAGGTCCGTGGGGATCCACCTGTACGCGGTTGCTATGTGTGGTTGCTATGTGTGGTTGCTGTGTGGTTGCTATGTGTGGTTGCTAGGTTGCTACGTGTGGTTGCTATGTGTGGTTGCTATGTGTGGTAGCTAGGTTCGTGGGGATCCACCTGTACGCGGTTGCTGTGTGGTTGCTATGTGTGGTTGCTATGTGTGGTTGCTATGTGTGGTAGCTAGGTTCGTGGGGATCCACCTGTACGCGGTTGCTGTGTGGTTGCTATGTGTGGTTGCTATGCGTGGTTGCTAGGTTGCTACGTGTGGTTGCTATGTTTGGTTGCTAGGTTCGTGGGGATCCACCTGTACGCGGTTGCTATGTGTGGTTGCTATGTGTGGTTGCTATGTGTGGTTGCTATGTGTGGTTGCTATGTGTGGTTGCTATGTGTGGTTGCTAGGTTCGTGGGGATCCACCTGTACGCGGTTGCTGTGTGGTTGCTATGTGTGGTTGCTAGGTTCGTGGGGATCCACCTGTACGCGGTTGCTATGTGTGGTTGCTATGTGTGGTTGCTATGTGTGGTTGCTAGGTTCGTGGGGATCCACCTGTACGCGGTTGCTATGTGTGGTTGCTATGTGTGGTTGCTATGTGTGGTTGCTATGTGTGGTTGCTATGTGTGGTTGCTATGTGTGGTTGCTATGTGTGGTTGCTAGGTTCGTGGGGATCCACCTGTACGCGGTTGCTATGTGTGGTTGCTATGTGTGGTTGCTATGTGTGGTTGCTATGTGTGGTTGCTATGTGTGGTTGCTATGTGTGGTTGCTATGTGTGGTTGCTAGGTTCGTGGGGATCCACCTGTACGCGGTTGCTGTGTGGTTGCTATGTGTGGTTGCTACGTGTGGTTGCTACGTGTGGTTGCTATGTGTGGTTGCTATGTGTGGTTGCTGTGTGGTTGCTAGGTTGCTATGTGTGGTTGCTATGTGTGGTTGCTATGTGTGGTTGCTATGTGTGGTTGCTAGGTTCGTGGGGATCCATCTGTATGCGGTGCGCTTCGAGGACTCGCGGTTTGAGTCTTGCGTCTTTGACGACGTCTCCTCCTCACGCCTCGTCTTCTCCAACTGCACCGTCATGGACACCCTCTTCATCAACACGGGTCAACCACCACCACCACAACCACCACAACCACTAGAACCACCACCACAACCACCACAACAACCACCAACACAACAACCACCAACACCACCACATCTAACACCACCACAACCACCACCACTACAACCACCACCACCACTACAACCACCACCACCACAACCAACACCACAACCACCAACACCACCACAACCTACACAACCACCACCACAACCAAAACCACTACATCCAACACCACCACAACCACCACCACCACATCTAACAACACCACCACAACAACCACCAACACCACCACATCTAGCACCACCACAACCAAAACCACTACATTCAACACCACCACCACCACAACCACCACCACAACCACCAACACCACAACCACCACCAGCGCCACAACAACCATCAACACCACCACATCTAGCACCACCACAACCAAAACCACTACATCCAACACCACCACAACAACCACCAACACCACAACCACCACCACAACCAACACCACTACATCCAATACCACCACAACCACCACCACTATAGACCACCACCACAACAACCACCAACACCACCACATCTAACACCACCACAACCACCACCACCACTATAGACCACCACCACAACAACCACCAACACCACCACATCTAACACCACCACAACCACCACTACAACCAAAACCACTACATCCAACACCACCACAACCACCACCACCACCACAACCACCAACACCACAACCACCACCACCACAACCACCACCACAACCACCACCACCACAACAACCACCAACACCACCACATCTAACACCACCACATCTAACACCACCACAACCACCACCACCACCACAACCACTACATCCAACACCACCACAACCACCGCCACCACCAGAACCAACACCACTACATCTAACACCACCACAACCACCACAACCACCAGAACCAACACCACTACATCCAACACCACCACAACCACCAGAACCAACACCACTACATCCAACACCACCACAACCACCACAACCACCAGAACCAACACCACTACATCCAACACCACATACAATATCCGCCATTCGCCACTAAGTGATGGTGCCATCACCACGGCGCCTGTGCCAGGCTAGGTGCACTTTGAGGCTACCACGTGAAGTGTCGCTCGCTGACCGGTCACGGGACAGAGCCGGGTGCCATGGGTCGACCGACTGAGATGATTGGCAGAGGCACCACCCGTGCCCCATGCAGTGCCAACTCGCTGCATTTATCCGCCCGACGCTCCGCTCGTTGTTGTGAGCGTCGCTCCACTGCCCTCACGAGCCTCCTCCACAGAGGGCGATCTTGACACCGCCGCTGGTACCGGTCCACTCAGCTCCACGTCCTCCTCTACCACATCACTCCGTCTCTCTCCAGTCCGTGTCGGGCCCGTTTAGCCCCCTCGATCCGGCCAAACAGAAGCGGCCTGGCCATGCGGTGGCTGCTGGCCATGCGGTGGCTGCTGGCCATGCGGTGGCTGCTGGCCATGCGGGCTACACGACCCCAGCCAACGCAGCCTCGCATGCCGGAGGAGCTCACCCGTGTCTCCCCCGTGTCTCACCCGTGTCTCGTGTCTCCCCCGCGTCTCACCCGTGTCTCACCCGTGTCTCACCCGTGTCTCGTGTCTCACCCGTGTCTCCCCCGTGTCTCGTGTCTCCCACGTGTTTCACCCGTGTCTCATGTCTCTCTCGTGTCTCCCCCGTGTCTCACCCGTGTCTCACCCGTGTCTCCCCCGTGTCTCGTGTCTCCCCCGTGTCTCGTGTCTCCCCCGTGTCTCACCCGTGTCTCGTGTTTCACCCGTGTCTCATGTCTCTCTCGTGTCTCACCCGTGTCTCACCCGTGTCTCACCCGTGTCTCCCCCGTGTCTCGTGTCTCCCCCGTGTCTCACCCGTGTCTCGTGTTTCACCCGTGTCTCATGTCTCTCTCGTGTCTCACCCGTGTCTCACCCGTGTCTCACCCGTGTCTCATGTCTCCCCCGTGTCTCCCCCGTGTCTCATGTCTCCCCCGTGTCTCCGCCGTGTCTCGTGTCTCTCTCGTGTCTCCCCCGTGTCTCACCCGTGTCTCCCCCGTGTCTCATGTCTCTCTCGTGTCTCCCCCGTGTCTCACCGTGTCTCTCTCGTGTCTCGTGTCTCCCCCATGTCTCCCCGTGTCCCACCCGTGTCTCCCCTGTGTCTCATGTCTCTCTCGTGTCTCCCCCGTGTCTCACCCGTGTCTCATCCGTGTCTACCCCGTGTCTCCCCCGTGTCTCACCCGTGTCTCACTCGTATCTCGTGTCTCCCCCGTGTCTCTCTCGTGTCTCATCCGTGTCTCCCCCGTGTCTCCCCCGTGTCTCACCCGTGTCTCGTGTCTCCCCCGCGTCTCCCCCGTGTCTCACCCGTGTCTCACCCGTGTCTCCCCCGTGTCTCACCCGTGTCTCGTGTCTCCCCCGTGTCTCTCCCGTGTCTCACCCGTGTCTCTCCCGTGTCTCACTCGTGTCTCACCCGTGTCTCACTCGTGTCTCACCCGTGTCTCACTCGTGTCTCGTGTCTCACCCGTGTCTCCCCCGTGTCTCCCCCGTGTCTCTCCGTGCAGATATCCCCAAATCGGCGTTTCAAGACAGCATCCTCATTAACACCTCCTTCCTCACCCGGAGGGGTGAGGAGAGGGGTGAGGAGCGGGGTGAGGAGAGGGGTGAGGAGCGGGGTGAGGAGCGGGGTGAGGAGAAGGGTGAGGAAAAGGGTGAGGAGAGGGGTGAGGAGAGGGGTGAGAAGGGTGAGGAGAGGGGTGAGGAGAGGGGTGAGGAGAGGGGTGAGAAGGGTGATGAGAGGGGTGAGAAGGGTGAGGAGAGGGGTGAGGAGCGGGGTGAGGAGCGAGGTGAGGAGAAGGGTGAGGAGAGGGGTGAGGAGAGTGGTGAGAGGGGTGAGGAGCGGGGTGAGGAGCGGGGTGAGGAGCGGGGTGAGGAGAGGGGTGAGGAGAGCGGCAGGGAGAGGGGTGAGGAGAGTGGTGAGGAGGAGGGTGAGCGGGAGGAAGACGAGGTGAGGGAGGAGAGGCGTGGTGAGCAGACACGGGTGAGGAACTGCGGCGGGCCCAGTGCCCTGTGGATGTTCCTCACCACCACCATCGCCTCGCTCACCGGGCTCCCTGGAGCTGCGCTCACCACCCTCACCTCCCTCACCACGCGGGCTCGCACCGTCCCCCGCTTACTGGGTAAGCTCACCACGGTACACTCACCACTAGTACACTCACCACTAGTACACTCACCACTACTCACCACTAGTACACTCACCACTAGTACACTCACCACTAGTACACTCACCACTAGTACACTCACCACTAGTACACTCACCACTACTCACCACTAGTACACTCACCACTAGTACACTCACCACTAGTACACTCACCACTAGTACACTCACCACTAGTACACTCACCACTACTCACCACTAGTACACTCACCACTAGTACACTCACCACTAGTACACTCACCACTAGTACACTCACCACTAGTACACTCACCACTACTCACCACTAGTACACTCACCACTAGTACACTCACCACGGTACACTCACCACTAGTACACTCACCACTAGTACACTCACCACTACTCACCACTAGTACACTCACCACTACTCACCACTAGTACACTCACCACTAGTACACTCACCACTAGTACACTCACCACTAGTACACTCACCACTAGTACACTCACCACTACTCACCACTAGTACACTCACCACTAGTACACTCACCACTAGTACACTCACCACTAGTACACTCACCACTAGTACACTCACCACTACTCACCACTAGTACACTCACCACTAGTACACTCACCACGGTACACTCACCACTAGTACACTCACCACTAGTACACTCACCACTACTCACCACTAGTACACTCACCACTACTCACCACTAGTACACTCACCACTAGTACACTCACCACTAGTACACTCACCACTACTCACCACTAGTACACTCACCACTAGTACACTCACCACTAGTACACTCACCACTAGTACACTCACCACTACTCACCACTAGTACACTCACCACTACTCACCACTAGTACACTCACCACTAGTACACTCACCACTAGTACACTCACCACTAGTACACTCACCACTACTCACCACTACTCACCACTAGTACACTCACCACTAGTACACTCACCACTACTCACCACTAGTACACTCACCACTACTCACCACTAGTACACTCACCACTAGTACACTCACCACTACTCACCACTAGTACACTCACCACTACTCACCACTAGTACACTCACCACTACTCACCACTACTCACCACTAGTACACTCACCACTACTCACCACTACTCACCACTAGTACACTCACCACTAGTACACTCACCACTAGTACACTCACCACTACTCACCACTAGTACACTCACCACTAGTACACTCACCACTAGTACACTCACCACTAATACACTCACCACTACTCACCACTAGTACACTCACCACGGTACACTCACCACTAGTACACTCACCACTAGTACACTCACCACTACTCACCACTAGTACACTCACCACTACTCACCACTAGTACACTCACCACTAGTACACTCACCACTACTCACCACTAGTACACTCACCACTAGTACACTCACCACTAGTACACTCACCACTACTCACCACTAGTACACTCACCACTAGTACACTCACCACTAGTACACTCACCACTACTCACCACTAGTACATTCACCACGATCCACTCACCACTAGTACACTCACCACTAGTACACTCACCACTAGTACACTCACCACTACTCACCACTAGTACACTCACCACTACTCACCACTAGTACACTCACCACTAGTACACTCACCACTAGTACACTCACCACTAGTACGCTCACCACTACTCACCACTAGTACACTCACCACGGTACACTCACCACTAGTACACTCACCACTAGTAAACTCACCACTACTCACCACTAGTACACTCACCACTAGTACACTCACCACTACTCACCACTACTCACCACTAGTACACTCACCACTACTCACCACTACTCACCACTAGTACACTCACCACTACTCACCACTAGTACACTCACCACTAGTACACTCACCACTACTCACCACTAGTACACTCACCACTACTCACCACTAGTACACTCACCACTACTCACCACTAGTACACTCACCACTACTCACCACTAGTACACTCACCACTAGTACACTCACCACTAGTACACTCACCACTACTCACCACTACTCACCACTAGTACACTCACCACTAGTACACTCACCACTACTCACCACTAGTACACTCACCACTACTCACCACTAGTACACTCACCACTAGTACACTCACCACTAGTACACTCACCACTACTCACCACTAGTACACTCACCACGGTACACTCACCACTAGTACACTCACCACTAGTACACTCACCACTACACACCACTAGTACACTCACCACTACTCACCACTAGTACACTCACCACTAGTACACTCACCACTACTCACCACTAGTACACTCACCACTAGTACACTCACCACTAGTACACTCACCACTACTCACCACTAGTACACTCACCACTAGTACACTCACCACTAGTACACTCACCACTACTCACCACTAGTACATTCACCACGATACACTCACCACTAGTACACTCACCACTACTCACCACTAGTACACTCACCACTACTCACCACTAGTACACTCACCACTAGTACACTCACCACTAGTACACTCACCACTAGTACGCTCACCACTACTCACCACTAGTACACTCACCACGGTACACTCACCACTAGTACACTCACCACTAGTAAACTCACCACTACTCACCACTACTCACCACTAGTACACTCACCACTAGTACACTCACCACTACTCACCACTACTCACCACTAGTACACTCACCACTAGTACACTCACCACTACTCACCACTAGTACATTCACCACGGTACACTCACCACTAGTACACTCACCACTACTCACCACTAGTACACTCATCACTAGTACACTCACCACTACTCACCACTAGTACACTCACCACTAGTACACTCACCACTAGTACACTCACCACTTGTACACTCACCACTAGTACACTCACCACTAGTACACTCACCACTACTCACCACTAGTACACTTACCACTAGTACACTCACCACTACTCACCACTAGTTCACTCACCACTAGTACACTCACCACTAGTACACTCACCACTACTCACCACTACCCACCACTAGTACACTCACCACTAGTACACTCACCACTACTCACCACTAGTACACTCACCACTAGTACACTCACCACTACTCACCACTAGTACACTCACCACGATACACTCACCACTAGTACACTCATCACGGTACACTCACCACCATTACACTCACCACTAGTACACTCACCACTAGTACACTCACCACTAGTACACTCACCACGGTACACTCACCACTAGTACACTCATCACGGTACTCACCACTAGTACACTCACCACTAGTACACTCACCACCACTACACTCACCACTAGTACACTCACCACTAGTACACTCATCACGGTACACTCACCACTAGTACACTCACCACTAGTACACTCATCACGGTACACTCACCACTAGTACACTCACCACTAGTACACTCACCACTCTGGTGTGCTGTGTAGTGGTGTGGTGGTGTAGTGGGGTGCTGTGTAGTGGTGTGCTGTGTAGTGGTGTGCTGTGTGGTGGGGTGGTGGTGTGCTGTGTAGTGGTGTGCTGTGTAGTGGAGTGGTGGCGTGCTGTGTAGTGGTGTGCTGTGTAGTGGTGTGCTGTGTAGTGGTGTGGTGTGTAGTGGTGTGGTGTGCTGTGTGGTGGTGTGCTGTGTAGTGGTGTGCTGTGTAGTGGTGTGGCTGTGTGGTGGTGTGGTGTGCTGTGTAGTGGTGTGCTGTGTAGTGGGGTGCTGTGTAGTGGTGTGCTGTGTGGTGGTGTGCTGTGTAGTGGTGTGCTGTGTAGTGGTGTGCTGTGTAGTGGTGTGGCTGTGTAGTGGTGTGCTGTGTGGTGGTGTGGTGGTGTAGTGGGGTGCTGTGTAGTGGTGTGCTGTGTGGTGGAGTGGTGGTGTGCTGTGTAGTGGTGTGCTGTGTAGTGGTGTGCTGTGTGGTGGTGTGGTGTGCTGTGTAGTGGTGTGCTGTGTAGTGGTGTGGCTGTGTGGTGGTGTGGTGTGTGGTGGTGTGGTGTGCTGTGTAGTGGTGTGCTGTGTAGTGGTGTGCTGTGTGGTGGTGTGGTGTGCTGTGTAGTGGTGTGCTGTGTAGTGGTGTGGCTGTGTGGTGGTGTGGTGTGCTGTGTAGTGGTGTGCTGTGTAGTGGTGTGCTGTGTAGTGGTGTGGCTGTGTGGTGGTGTGGTGTGTGGTGGTGTGGTGTGCTGTGTAGTGGTGTGCTGTGTAGTGGTGTGCTGTGTGGTGGTGTGGTGTGCTGTGTAGTGGTGTGCTGTGTAGTGGTGTGGCTGTGTGGTGGTGTGGTGTGCTGTGTAGTGGTGTGCTGTGTAGTGGTGTGCTGTGTAGTGGTGTGGCTGTGTGGTGGTGTGGTGTGTGGTGGTGTGGTGTGCTGTGTAGTGGGGTGCTGTGTAGTGGTGTGCTGTGTGGTGGAGTGGTGGTGTGCTGTGTAGTGGTGTGGCTGTGTGGTGGTGTGCTGTGTAGTGGTGTGGCTGTGTGGTGGTGTGGTGTGTG